AACACATTTTATAGCAAATAGTATACCGAAAAAACTACGATTTGCAATTTTTTTGAGAAAAATGTTTCTAAGAAAATAAAGGGTGGGTGGGCGGGGCTAGTACTTGCTAAGATAAGACTAATTTAGACAATGGCTTTCCCTCTGAGAAAACAGAGGATGAATGAGTGGGGTTTAAAGTTGCTAAAATAAGACTGAACCGTATTAAGAGTAGCCACTGGAATGAAGAAGGGGTGGGTGGGCGGGGCTACTACTTGCCCATAGAAAAAACTAAACTTAACCTGCCCATTTCCTTCCTCCATTTCACTAATTTAGCGTAAAACAGGAATAGCAAAAAAGTTAATATATATTTTTTGAGAATTTTTAAACAACTTTTTCAAAAATGAAATGTTCCACTATGTATACCCTAACTTAAAATTTACAAGAAAATGTATTTAGTTAAGTTTCGAAAATGGTCAAAAATGCGTCGAAATTTGAACAATTAGAAAAACTTTGAAAAAGTCATCTAAAAATTCACGAAAAATTCTGGGACAAGAATCTCGACTTGCTAATCCCAAAAATATAACGTATTTATAGTCACGGAGCAACATTTCCTAAATATTCGATTTTGAAGTCAGTTATTTTAAAATTCCAAAAATTCTGGAAGCAACTATAAAAAAATCCTTTTTCGAAATCGCTGAACTCCATCTTGAAAAAAGTAAACACCTCATTATCGCGAAAATTCCCCGCACGTGCGTCCCGCCACTCCCCTTCGCAAAAACGGCCCCCCGCGCCCCCGAACCCGGCATATTGTCTGTATAATTCCCCATTTGCATGTCTTCCCGAAATTGCATTTCGCAAATTCGAATTTAAGTGCTCCGTCGTCCTTAATGAAATTAGAGCGGCGCTCCGCCAAAAAGAAACAATAATAATGGTATAATAAGTGGATATTATGCAACCAGCCCAGCACATTAAATAAATCCTTCGAGCTCCTCGCTCCGCAAATAACTAACGTAATTATATTCGTCAGGGAACAATTTCAATTTTCGGCGGCGCCCGTTTCGCACGTTCTACTTTTATTGTTGGATCAAATGCAGACATGAAACGCTCGACTTGCTCCGGGGGCGGCGATGCGAGACCGCGCGCCGCTGCACATGCACCCACCAACACCCCACTAGCCAAATCCCGACCTGAAAGCAATTATTCCCGAGGAGAGGAGCCCGTAGTGACCTTGGTAGTACGCGGTAAATATTTCAGCCATGGTCATTACGTCGGGGCGCCTTACATTATTTAGTCGGGCCGTTTTCGTTTAGAGCGGTCGTTCTTTCGGACATGAAAAATTAAGGGTCTAATTACCGACAACAGACGGCGCCGCAATCGATATCGGCGTTTTAATTGAATTACATATCAACATCGTAGGTGGCGGATGGAATATTAATAGCGTCACGTGACGTGGCGCCACATTTGAATCCACCGAATTAGCACAAAGTAGTAAACTAAGAAAACGGATCCCGCCATAAACTAGGCGTTTTATTGCTCAAAACTGCAATAAACTATTATAGTGAGAGACCTGAAAAGAACATAAGGACGTCATAAAGCTCCCTCGTAACAACCCTAATTAAAAATGACTTAGATCTGGAAGTTCGCGTGGATTTTATGTCGAATTTGCTTCGAGCTTAATGAGCGGCTTAGAGCCGAAGTTTAATTTATGTCGGGAACGAAGCTCATGCATTCATACGGAGTATGAAAAAGTCGACAATTAAGGCAAATGGCCGCCTTTAGCATTATAATGGCGACATTTTGCAATTCAAATCGCGCCATTTTGTATTCGCGCCGGAATTAATTCTAATTGGTCGAGCACATGCCAGAGATCTCCGGAAAACAGCGACGCTTTTTATTAAATAATAAAAACCGTAATTCGGAGATTCATCAAGATAATGTTTTCCACTTTGTCAATAGTTGGCAGCCACTCATAAATCAGTACGAGGTAATAAATTACGCCACGAAGTAAGTTTTGACGTTTTAATTTAAAGTAAGGTGATTACTTAGACGGTTATTATGGAGTTTATGCCCAATTTAGGAGCGAAAGTATGTTGAATTAATGTTGCCCGACTGAAATTAAATTTTTAGACATAACCTCAAACTTATCTCGAGTAGGCTGACTTTCGGCGTGACGTCGCGAAAAACGCGTCACTCATGACAGGTACGTCGACCCAAGCCATCTTCTCCCTGTTGTTAGAAAATCAATCCGACAAAAAGAAGCCCCGAAAACGAAGATTTCGCTTTTTATCCTTCGAAACTTGGAGGAAGTTTTAATTTTAGATACCGGGTTAATTTTTCTCCACTAACGAATTGTTGGTTTGGAGGACCAACTGCTCTATTTAATTATCCACAATCGATAACGTGAATGTCTCTAAACATGCAATAAATTATTAAAACGTCGTCCATTCAATTGGAAACATTATGAAATTATGGGGAGTTAATTCCAACAATTGACGCCAGAAAAGCGATTTGTTTGAAGAGGGTTGTAAATGCATGTATAATTGGTTGCATACGCAATAAATTATTCATTATTGCTATTAGTAAATACACCCACAGGACAGTCAATATTCCAGACTATTTTCATCCGCTGGAGCTCTCAGACATATTAACAAACCCCCATAAACCAGCTGCAGCCGCCCCAACTCAATAAAAACGTAAATAATTCTCTTCGTACGAGCTCCGGCTGAATATTCCGAAACACGACTCCGCTATCTCCCGCCGCAATTGTTGTAATTAAATTTAAACACGGCTGTTATTGAATGAACAATAGCGTGACAACTTAACCCCCTAGTGATTAATGCGTTTACTGGCCAGCGACACTCTGATCCGAAGTCCTGCGACTACGTCACCAGCTGCTCCAAATTATTATAGCCCTATACAACGCAGATGCGTGACGGAAATGTCAGCTTTTTTCTAATGGCGGCGGCTTAAAGGGGTATGTGGCGGTGTAAACGCGGCTTCGAGCTTTGAGGTTATGTCGATTCCGAGAAATCACATTAAGTACATTAATCAAAATGTTAATTGGGGCTTTCGCCGAAAACATGTAATTGCTTTTCCACAATTAATCATTTCGGGCGCGAATTTGCATACTGGGGTTTTTTAAATCGAGGAGTTGGACAAATATTAGAAGCCGGGTTTACCGCACGAAATTTTAATTTTAATGACACCACATGTCACATGAACAGAAAATCGATGTAAGTGTGGGTTTACTTAAGTCAACTTTACTTAACAAGGTTTACCAAACACACATGCCAAATATTAGTAGCTATCTTAAATATTGATCCCGAACTTTAAAGTAAACATGTTTGTCGCCTTAACACTTTTCTATTATCATACTTTCTCGAGGTGGAATGATGTACTGTATCGACTTCCGAGACCAGTAAACTATGCATAAGTTAATTGATTATTCGGTTCAATAACAAAAACCGGCTTGGTTTAAGTAGAAAAATCGAGTAAATTACAAAAAAGCCGGATTTACAATAGCGATTTCGTAAAAAGTGACAGATAATTGCACTGACAGCACACGTCACGACAGCCCAAGATCAATAAATAAAACCCATCTCGCATGGAGCAAAGAGGTCATCGCTACATAGCAACCATTTCAAGTGCTTTGTATATGTCAAACGCGCGACATTCAGAAGGCGCTGACGAATAAATATCACCCAAGAATTTTCAACTCCTCTAAACTTTTACGAAAGTTAGGTTATGATTATATGATTAAGTCATGTCTTTAAAAAAAAATAATCAGAACAATACAAACTGGCCTCGTTTCGGAATAGAAAATCAATCGCGACAACACAATGACATAATAATTGGCGCGTTTATCGGTTGTTTTAAATCACGCCGTATGAAAGCTTTTATTTTCCGTAAAGTAAACTACTGGAGTGTCCGAGTGTTTGTTTTACTAATAAAGCGACCCTAACGATGGCTCAAAGTCGGCTTCACACGATCGAAATTTGGGTGACGGTTGAGGTTATGTTTAATTTAGAATTTAGGGCCAAAACAGTGACAGATAAATGGAACGATAGCATGTCGCGTAAACCCAAAATCGATAAATTAAACCCATCTGGCACAACAAAGAGGTCATCGCTACTAACAACCAATTCAGTGCTGCGTGTGTCAAACTCCGTACGGTAAACATCAAACAAATCGAGCGCTTCCAAGCAGGAAAAAAATTCGCCGTGAATATTTCAAGCGCCGGAAGCGCACTATTTTTAACCATAAAAGTGTAAAAAAGACACTGGAAATAATCGTTTTTTGATTTTTGAACGTCAACTGGAGTATAATTCTTATTTCGACGAAGCGGCAAAAGTCAACGTCAACTATGATATGAAAATAAATGGTAATAGAGTGTGTAATAAGCATGGAGTTGTTTGCGGCTCTACTTAAGTCATCTTTACTTAACAAGACTTAGTTAAACACAACTGAGTATCAATGTTTATGTTATACATTTGTTTCATAAACATTAAAGTAAACTTGTAACGCACGTTATATTTGTTTGGACAAAAACTAGCCCCGATTTAAAATTGAAAATCAATTCAGACAACCCAGTGTTGTATTAAATGTGTCAAGACTGTAACCAGTTGAAACTGTTTGCTTTTTCGTGACATTTTTGTCACTAAACTAGCGAAGCCCGGTTTACACGATGCAAATTCGCGTCGACAGCGTCAGTTGAGGTTATGTCATAATTTAAATTAAAATCGACTACGTTGAGTGAAGAATCCCTAGCACATGTAGCGTAAACCCAAAATCAATATATAAAAACCCATCTCACACCGAGTACAGAGGTCATCGCTACAAACGAGCAATTTAAATGCCGCGTATCCATCACCCCCCATAAAATAAATATCAAACAAAGCCGGCACTCCCAAACAAAAAAAAAAAAAAAACAACAAAATCCCCATACATATTTAAACGGCCCCCAGTTTCGAAGCCGACCCATATAAAATGCAAATGGGGCCTTCGGAAAGGGAAAAATTTACCTTATCAGAAGAAGACAGATTAGATAGACGGACAAGAAAGGAAATTCCACACTGTCACTGCGATAACGAGCCGGAACGGTCACTCGCCACTCCGTATTAAAATGAATGAAAGAGAGAGTTGATTAGAGGTACGGTGAAGTGTAGTGTCTTAGCAGGGAGCAGGCAAGGCCCTCTTCGAGAACGGGGGCGCCAAACTGACATAAATAGAGGGGTGGCAACACATCCGAACGTGTGCCTGCGCGAGTGGAGTCCTGCTCCTGCTCCTGCTCCTGCTCCTGCTGACCCGCCCGCCAGAGGTTCGACTCCTTTTCGGCACGGCGTTCAGTCGATATCGCGCCGGATTCGAATTTTAACGGCGTGTCGGACAAGGACGGGGAATGCGGGGGGCGGCGGCGGCGGCGCGTGCACGGGATGCCGGAGACGGCTCATTCATGGGTGGACGGCCGGGGGCGGAAATGGGCAGCCGGGCGCGGGACCCAAACGAACACAGAGCCAAAGCTCGGCGTATTGTGGGCTGCCTACCCGCATGTTGTGTTTTGTGGGTTTAAACAGATTATGATTAAATGGAGGGTTGGGGCGGTTTTGTGACGGGAGAGAGGCTGTGGAAACGTTTTCTGGGCTCGGGATGAGTTTTAAATCTGGGTGAAGATGGCCGGGAAAAACGGGCAGACGAAATGTCACCAGAAGGCAGGGGCGGAGTGGACGATTTTTTCCCAAGTTGACAGTAGTAAAGATTATTTAAATTTTGTAAAATAAGATACTTCTGCACGTGTGGTTTATGAACCCCGGTTGAATTTTTATCCTAGACATCCAGATTTTGAGAAAAAAAAAATCAAAATTAAAACATCTTGCAAATTAACTTTGAAACTGATATGAAATTTCTAAACTGAAGTCAGTAGTAAGTAAAATGGTACGTTTCACCCCACGCTTTTTTTTACCTGCTTTTTCCTGTATTTTAAGGTACTTTATCACGTTTTAAGCAAACAGGCCAATTTTGACGTTGAAGTTTTTTTTTGCTTTTTTAAAAAGTCGTTTTTTGTCGTGAAGTTTGTTTTAAATGCATTTTTTAACATTTCACTCCATTTTTAAGGTTATTTTTTTTAAGTTGTGGATTTTAACCATGATTCCAGCCGATCCATACAGAAATTTTGACTTTGAAATTTTTATAAAAAAGTAAAAAAACACTTCAACGTCAAAACTGGCCTGTTAAAAATGATAAAGCACCTTATAACAAATTAAAAAACATAAATATAAAATAACATATTCCTGGATGTGTGACTTATGAATCCATGTTGAGTTTCTAGCATCCAGATTTTTTGAAAAAAAAATATTATGTAACAATATCGTGCAAATATTTTAAGATTATTTGAAACATGGTAAATCGGTAGTCAAAATTTCTCCGTCATCTTACTACATTTTTGCCGAACTTCTTCAAATTTATGAGTGTTTATGAGGATTTAAGTTGATTACTACAAAAGATTTAGACATATTTTAAGTTTCTTGTCGAAATAAGTCTACACAAATTAAGAAAAAACAAACAAAATGTAGCCCCGCCCACCCACCCCGTCTCAATTGCGATGATTTTTTTTATTGGTCGTGAGCCAAGAAGGCGGAGCTTGACTGCAAAATCCTTATTTCTCCACAAGAAATTAAAAACATATTTTTGAGTATCCATAATTCCTTAAATCCCTAAGGATTTTGCAGTTAAGTTTCGCCCCTTTGGCTCACGACCAATAAAAAAAATCATCACAAATGAAATAGGGCGGGTGGGCGGGGCTTATATTTCGCCTTTTTTTCTTAATATACATGGTATTCTTTGAACAACACGATACTCAAAAACATGTTTTTAATTTCTTCTAAAGAAATAAGAAATTTGCAGTTAAGTTCTGCCCCCTTGATTCACGACCAATAAAAAAATCATCACAATTGATATAGGGCGGGTGGGCGGGGCTTATATTTCGCCTTTTTTTATATACATAGCATTCTGTGAACAAGACGATACTCAAAAACGTGTTTTTAATTTCTTGTAAAGAAATAAGGAATTTGCAGTTAAGCTCTGCTCCCTTCATTCACGGCCAATAAAAAAAATCATCACAATTGAGATAGGGCGGGTGGGCGGGGCCTATATTTCACCCTTTTTTCTTAATATACATATTATTCTTTGATCAACACGATACTCAAAAACATGTTTTTAATGTCTTGTAAAAAATAAGGAATTTGCAGTTAAGCTCTGCCCCTTTGATTCACGGCCAATAAAAAAATTCATCACAATTGAGATAGGGCGGGTGGGCGGGGCTTATATTTCGCCCTTTTTTCTTGATATACATATTATTCTTTGATCAACACGATACTCAAAAACATGTTTTTAATTTCTTGTAAAGAAATAAGGAATTTGCAGTTAAGCTCTGCCCCTTTGATTCACGCCCAATAAAAAAAATCATCACAATTGAGACAGGGCGGGTGGGCGGGGCTTATATTTCGCCCTTTTTTCCTAATACACATATTATTCTTTGATCAACACGATACTCAAAAACATGTTTTAATTTCTTGTAAAGAAATAAGGAATTTGTAGTTAAGCTCTGCCCCCTTAATTCACGGCCAATAAAAAAAATCATCACAATTGAGATAGGGCGGGTGGGCGGTCTGACATTTTGCCTTTTTGATTTAATATTTGTGGACTTCTTTTCAAAACATGAAACTTGAAATATGTTTAAAATGGAAAATCTGTATAAGGTTTGGCAGTTAGGTTTCGCTCCATAATTGCAAAATCCCTATTTCCTGGCAAAAATGTACCATTTTAACCATGTTTTAAGTTTCTTGTGGTTAAAAGATGACTATGTATATGAAGAAAAAAAAACATAATTTAAGCCCCGCCCACCCGCCCTATCTCAATTCTGATGATTTTTTTATTCGTCGTAACCAGAGGGGCGAAACTTAACTGTAAAATCCTTATTTTTCTATAAGAAATTACCATGTGAAAAGTGTTCTTAAGTAATCGTGTTATACAAAGAAAACTAGTAAATGTATTAATTAAAAAAGAAAACCAAAAGAGAAGCTCCGCCCATCCGTCTCGATCTCAATCGTGATGAATTTTTCATTCGTTGTCAGACCGAGGGGCGGAGCGTAATTGCAAAATCTATATTTCCCTATACAAATTTAACAATTTAACCATGTTCTAAGTTTCTTGTTGCAAAAAAATGGCAATGTATATTAAGAAAAAAAGGGTAAAGTATAAGCCCCGCCCACCCGCCCTGTCTCAATAGTGATGTTTTTTTTCATTCGCTGTGACCCAAGGAGGCGGAACTTAACTGCAAAATCCACATTTCCTTACAAAAATTTACCATTTTAAATGTATTTCAAGTTTCTAAGATTAAAAAAATCATCACAATTGAGATGGGGTGGGTGGGCGGGGTTTATATTTTCCCTTTTTTTCTTTATATACACAGTATTCTTTAAACAACACGATACTCAAAGCATGTTTTTAATTTCTTGTAAAGAAATAAGTATTTTGCAGTTAAGCTCTGCCCCTTTGATTCACGGTGAATAAAAAAAATCATCACAATTGAGACAGGGTGGGTGGGCGGGCATACATATCGATTTTGAAATTAGGCTCCCCCCATAATTGCAAAAACCATATTTAATTGCAAAAATGTACCATTTCAACAAGTTCTAAGTTTGTTGTTGTGAAAAAATGTTGTTGTTAAGAAACAAAAGGCAAAATGTGAGGCCCGCCCACCCACCCTGTCTCAATCCTGATGATTTTTTTTTTATTCGTCGTAAGCCGAGGGGCGAAGTTTAATTATACAATCCTTATTTTTCTACGAGAAATTACCATGCGAAATATGTTCTTGAGTAGGTAATCGTGTTATCCAAATAAAACCCAAAGAGAAGCCCCACCCATCCGTCTCGATCTCAATCGTGATGAATTTTTCATTCGTTGTCAGACCGAGGGGCGGAGTCTAATTGCAAAGTCGGTACTTTTATACAAAAATTTGCCATTTTAAACATGTTTTAAGTTTCTTGTTGTGAAAAGAAGACTACACATATTAAGAAAAAAGAGCAAAATGTAAGTAAGCCAATAAACGCTTTTTGAAAATATTCTCGATTCACTTTGGTTTATTTTTGGTGAGAAATTCCCATTTCAAACGTTTTTTTTTGATTCTTTTTCTTGATAAGAAGTTGTCCAGTCCGCCCCTGCCAGAATGTGCAACACGCAATGCCAAAAGGCCCCGGAATGCGCCCGAGAATTCCCCTCTTTTGTCCTGTGTGGAGAATTACAAGCGCGATTTTTTCCTCCGTCGTTTTCGCACAATTTTATCGACGTGCTCGGAATGCTTGTTTCTTACAAGCCTCATTCATCCGCGTCCATTCATCGCTCGACTTTTCCGAAAAGAAAAGCTAATTATCACACGTCAACTTATCTCGCTGACATCTACAGTACAAACAATTGCGTAATTTTGTTTTCCTCCGGTATTTTCCTTTCGGGTAATTATCGTGGTTTATTTATGGGCTTACAAAGAGGCACCGGGGATGTAATTAACATAAAAAAACGGCCACATATAGGGGAATTATCACTATCAGTCGTGGCGCACCTGCTTATGAATTCCAGCGATAACAGCACGGATCACTCGAATTACGCCTCTATTTATAACAAAAAATTACCATATGCCAGAACGCAAGATATCGTTATCAATATTCATGGGGCGGCCTTGAAATTCCGATTTCTTTTTTGCCATCTGTCTTGTTTTTCACCTCTGGAACTAGATCATCGCCGCAAGGCCAAGGCGCCGCTGCCTTGATCAATTTTTCGCTGTTTTATGTGTTTTCTTTCCTCATTTAATCGCCAAGTTTGGCCAAAACGGAAATAAAACGCCGGTTCGGGCGAAATGGAAAGCATTTTTTCGGTGCGCGCGGTTTTATAATTATGCATGAACGCCATCGTCCGTCACACTACTAATAAATTAAAAAAAAAAAAAACAAAAAAAATACACGGTAGAGTAAATCGGCTGCCGCTATCGAAACGGAGCGGCTGATCGCGATTCCCGCGTTCGAAACGCGGCGCTAAAGCACGGTGGCCGATTTGCCGCTCCCACGAAACGCGATCCGATTAGTGGTTCATTAGTTTGTGTTGCTTTCATTGTGCCGCGTCCTGGCTGACTCATCGCGGCGCCAGTGGCGTACGAACAGTTATTTCTGGCCCTTTGTTGGACGAGCGAGTTATTTTAGATATCTAGTCGTAGGCGCCCATTGACACCTTAAAATTTTTGTAATATAACTACTCTCTG